TTTATGGGAAATCAATGGCAATCTCTGTTCGCTGTAATAGCTGTTTCGGCCGGCCTGATTTGCTGTTCTCGCGGTTTCTAGTCCTTCTGCTCTTTGATTCATTCTTTAAAGAATTGTTAGCTTATGACTGGCGGTGTTGCTCTTCTTTTATGAAAGCACGTGTCACTTATTGAAAAACCAAAAAACTTTGCCCTGAATGTTGCTTTCGATCTTGTACTTTGAATGTTTATCTTCTATTTTAAGTCGCTGTTCAGTTATGGTGTTGAGCTTCATACTACTTTAATATGTTAATATTAAATTAATATGTTAATTTGTCTGACTCTGGCTATGTGAACCTGGGGATAAATCAATTTTGAAAATTAGCTCTCCTAAATTAAGCTAACGGCGTCCTTTACAGGTGATTTACTCTGTCATTTACAGTACTTTTAACGACATGGTAACAACACATGAGGCTAATTGTGAATAAAGTAATGTGATGCAGCATTTTCCTGAATCAGGCGAAGATAATCATAGGGATGGGACCAATTTTCTTGTTTAAGGAGTCCAATGTCCATACTCGCATACGTCAAGACATCACTTTTGAAGCTATAGGGAAACAGAGGCAGGTCATTTCCTTCCTACTCTTCCTTTTTCCCCCGAGAATAGGGTTCCAAATTTTGAAATGTGTGATAGAAACAATCAAAGCAGGAAGCTAATTACGTTAACACGTAGAATTTTTTGAAATTTCTAGAAGTCAGTAAAGTTTTAAAGGATTTAAGTAACAGTAGTGAAAAAGATGGTCTAGCTGATTTCACACAAAGTATCCCCTTTTTAAGAGGTGAAAGAGAGGGAAGAAGAAAAGCATTGTTTAGTGCCGAGAGGGACACTAACTAGTCCTACTGCGACATGCTAAAGGAGGACGTGGGAAGAATGCCAAGCCTAAACCTTTCGGGATCAGCTTTCGCAGTAAACAGACTTTTATCCACAAAAAGGGGGAATGAACAACCCTTCTCGTATACAGAGACCACTTATTGTACTACTTTTGGTAGTTTCGAAAGTTTTTGGTTGTAACTCTTGCTAGGGGTTCGAAATGTTCTAGTGAAGATAATCTGCTGCATTCCTGAAAAATCTTGGAGGGACCAATTCTCGCTCAATTATCTGATCCGTATGTACATCAGAAGCTAACATCCCGGTCACCTTGAAAACAACCAATTATATAATGATTTGTCTCTATCTTAGACGTATTACCGTAATCTCTCACACATGATTCAGCGCGATTAACATCCAACATCTGTCCACATGCATGTTATTGCATTTATGTC